TCTCAACGCCGTTCTGACGCCGAACTGCTATCCACTGCCGGTCCCCGCCGATCTGTTCACCTTGCTGAATGGTGGCATTTGCTTTGCCAAGTTGGATCTGGCTAATGCGTACTTGCAGATCGAAGTCGCTCCAGAGTCGCGCGAATTGTTGACAATAAACACACACCGCGGTCTGTTCCAGTACGCCAGGCTGCCCTTTGGTGTCAAGACCGCTCCGGTCCTGTTCCAGCAAACTATGAACAAAATGCTCTCCAGCATTCCTGGCACGGCTGGGTACCTAGACGACATCATGGGTCGCTCCCCCGCTGAGCTCCAAGACCGAGCGTGCGCAGTACTTGAACGCGTGCAAGAAACTGGCTTCCGATTGCGGGCCGACAAGTGTCAATTCTTCCTTGAGTCCATCAAGTACCTTGGATCCATCTTTGACGCCACTGCTCGCCATCCAGATACCGAAAAAATTCGTGCCATTCAACGGATGCCTGCACCCAAGGATTCGTCACAACTTAGATAGTTTCTTGGCCTGATCAGCTACTATAGCGCTTTCCTACCGTCGCTACACGACTTCCGAGCCCCGCTCAACCGTCTACTGCAGAAGGATGCTCCCTGGTGCTGTTCCCCGACTGCGAAAAGGCTTTTGTCGAGCTGAAGTCGATCCTGAGTTCGGATCTGCTGCTCACACACTATAACCCGACAGTGCCGATCGTCGTTGCTACAGACGCCTCCAATCATGGCGTTGGTGCCGTCATTTCGCACACTTTCCCCGAAGGGTCTGTCATTCAGATGCCGAGATCTTCCTGTATTTCTGCTTCTTGGAATGGAGTTCCGTTCAGATAGTAGGATCGCTCATCAGGGACCTGTCGTTAACATATTATCGATACAGGCTAACATGCGAGTCCCAGGAAGTACAGGATCTCTCGCCAAAATTCGGGGTTGGTGTGATTTTGCTGCCCATCTCGTTTGCGCAAGTACTGGTTGACGATGTTGCGCGGGTAGCCATTTTCTCTGAATATATTGTATTTTGGAAACTTTATCTTCTGGTTCACTGCAGTACGTTTCAGCACGCCTATAAAACGTCCCTACGTAACTGTGTTTGTGGCTGATCGGGTGGTTGCTGTTGAAGTTCAGTGCCAAAATCGTGCATGTCGCTTTCGTGAATACTTTAGTCTTTAGGCCAC